GCCCGGCTATTTTTTGGTTGCAGCCGTCGTTGTTGTTTGGTGGGTCCGGGCTGGGGATTCGAACCCGCCACCTTAGGTGTACGTGGCTGGCGCCTTATCCAGTTGAGCTATAGGCACCGAGCCGACTTGCTGTTTTATTTTGAAAATTTTTAGCATGTTAACACTTCTGCAGGCCATTCAAGGTGGTATTTTAGCTTCATTTTTATTATCTTTATTCTTTTTCTCTAATCCTATGACAGATTAGTATTTTAGCTTGTTTTAAGAATGCTATTAAGGTCAGGTGCAGTGGGTCACACTTGTAATCATAGCACTCTGGGAGGCTGAGGCAGGTGGATTGCCTGAGCTCACAGGATCAAGACCAGCCAGAGCAAGACCTCGTCTCTAAAAATAGCTGTGTGTTGTGTCAGGCACCTGTAGTCCCAGCTACTTGGGAGGCTGGGGCAGGAGAATCACTTGAGCCCAAGGGTTGATGTTGCTGTGAGCTACAATGCCATAGCACTCTACTAAGAGTGACAAAGTGGGACTCTGTCCCCAAAAAAGAATGCTGTTGGGGGTCCTAAAATTATGTCTTCATGAATGGCCTAGATGTATCATCATTTAATCATTGTCTTTCAGTACCATGCGGGATACTATGAAGTATGTCTATGGACAGCATGGAATTCGAAAAGGATTGTATCGTGGTTTATCTCTTAATTACATTCGTTGCATCCCCTCTCAAGCAGTGGCTTTTACAACATATGAACTTATGAAGCAGTTTTTTCACCTCAACTAAAAAAATAATAATAATAATGATTTGTCTTCCTTAATAAATTCTGAGAGGGAGAAATAAAATGTGGGGCAAACATTACTTGAAGCAGGATATTTACCCTGTCACAGCAACCACTGGTATTTTAGTACTTGATTTTTTTTCTTTGTTACTTACAAATCAAAGTGCTTACCATTTTTTTTGATGCCAAACATACCTTAGAACACTGAAAAAGTATTCCTAAGCTGATGCTTGCTAAACAATTGGGTTATTTGAAATAAAAATTTTTGAATTTTATTTGGAAGAACTAACTTCAAAACAGTGTTCAAGAGGTTGCCATTAGCTTTATTATGCTCTTCCTAACTTTTAATTGTAATCATGATTTTTAAAAGACTCTAACACTGTTTATTATTAAAATAAGCATGCTTGGTTATATTGCAGAATGATGAGAACTAAATTTTTAAGTTCTATAAAACAGCCAGGATTGAAGTATTATTGTCTTTCTTATAATTTTGCTCCACTATATAAAAGGACACTTTTCTCTTTATTTTTTAAAATAAAATTAATGTTGTATTTAAAAATTAACCATGGAGAGACTCAAAGAATGAAGAGAGGCTGGATACAATGGCATGTACCTGTAGTCCCAGCTACTCAGGAGGCTGAGGCAGGAGGAACTCTTGAGCTCAGGAGTTTGAGGCCAGCCTGGGCAACATAGTGAGACTTCCTCTCTAAAATGAATGAAGGAAAGGTGGAAGGATGGATCAGGCTTTGCTCAAATGTTATTATCAGGTACTATTTGTGATTTCCAAGTGTTTTTAGAAGTCCATGTATTTTCAAAAGGCAGTAATAATAAATAATAAATATCTTTGCTCTTAAAAACAAAGTAGCACTCAGGCAGTATCTGTGGCTCAGTGATAGGGCACTGGCCCCATATACTGAGAGTGGCAGGTTCAAACCCGGCCCTGGCCAAACTGCAACAAAAAAATAGCCTGTGTCAGGCACCTGTAGTCCCAGCTACTTGGGAGGCTGAGGCAAGAGAATCGCCTAAGCCCAGGAGTTGGAGGTTGCTGTGAGCTATGTGATGCCACGGCACTCTACCGAGGGTAATAAAGTGAGACTCTGTCTCTACAGAAAAAAAAAAAAGTAGCACTATAGATTTGATTTTGTTAGATGATTGGTTTATACTAGAAAATTTATTTAAGAGGACTGTGAAATATCCATTAATGTACATGTGAATATCAAAGAATGTTTCTAAGATATTATGTTGTGATATATCAACTAGTTCTTCCATGTAAAATAATTTTAGTGCAATATAAACAAGTAGAAATGTAAAACATGATTTGAGTTGTTATCATTTAAAGAAAGTAGTGAAATGTAAGAATTCTATTCATTGTGCTTGGAGCAGTGTTATGTTTTATTATAAGCATGACAGAAGTGGGAAGTTAACAATTAAAGTTCTGTCTTCAAAAATAGTAATTTGTAAAATTGATGTGATTTAGGACATTTGAAGACTAAGTTGAAAGTGTTATTTTTGCTTTAATTTTTATTTTTTTGCATAAAATATTTTTTTGTCATACCTTGGTAAAAAATATGATGATGAGCTGGTTTCATTTTGAAAGTCTTTATTTTAAAAGTATGTATGTATCTTTGTATGATCTATAAGTGTACCAGCAAGTAGAAATACATATGTTTTTAAAACTGTTTTGTATATTTTCATTTCTGGGTCACACTGTAGCTAATTATTATTATTAAATCACGAGGTAATTTAAATGTGTAAAATAAGTATCTCATTTATGTTATCAATAAAAGGGGACTGCAAATATTTTTAAATAAAAATTTGCATTCTATCGAATACATAGGATATAAAAATAAATTTTTCCATGTTTAATAGTTTCTTTTTTTTAGTTGTTTACATTATTGAAATGTAAGAAGTCAGATGGAAGAATACTTAAAATAATGACTTGGCTCAGCACCCATAGCACAGTGATTATAGTGCCAGCCACATACACTGAGGGTGGCGGGTTCTAACTTGGTTGGGCTAGATGAGCAACTACAATTAAAAAAAAAAAATAGCTGGCTCGGCGCCTGTGGCTCAAGCGGCTAAGGCACCAGCCACGTGCACCTGAGCTGGTGGGTTCGAATCCAGCCTGGGCCCGCCAAAGAACAATGACAGCTACAACCAAAAAACAGCCAGGTGTTGTTGCGGGCGCCTGTAGTCCCAGCTACTTGGGCGGCAGAGGCAGGAGAATCGCTTGACCCCAGGAGTTGGAGGTTGCTGTGAGCTGTGATGCCATGGCACTCTACCCAGGGTGACAGCTTGAGGCTCTGTCTCAAAAAAAAAAATAGCTGGGCGTTGTGGTGGGTGCCTGTAGACCTAGCTACTTGGGAGGCTGAGGCAGGAGAGTTGCTTAAGCCCCGGAGTTTGAGGTTGCTGTGAGCTGTGAGGACACAGAACTCTACCCAGGGCAACATAGTGAGACTCTGTCTCAAAAATAATAATAATAAAATAATGACTATGTTTATATCTGATTTATTTTAGATAGATAACCCAGAGTCTATCTAGCTGTTATATGCCATTTGAAGATTGATAATTTATTTCTTTTTTGAAGTCTATTCTTTTTCTGCCTTTTAGTGCATATGGCCTTCTAGAATGAGACAGTGGTCTGGTCTAGGGATTGCTACATGATCTGCTACTCCTGGCTCTCAGTGGCTCCCTGTATGTAGCTGGAGAAGTTGTTGGGTATATATAATAATATCTTGCGCCATTCTCCACTAGGGTACTGAACATCCATTCAGCACCCAACAAATCAGCATTATATGTGACTTCCTTTGGGGGGCCTATAAACTGCACTTATGGTTAAATTCAGATGCCGAAGAGCATATAACACCAGTATTTCTCTAAGAGTATGTACTATATGATAACTGCCTGTTTACCTATGTCCCTCTCTCCCTATACTGATTCCCTCCAAGGCAGAGCCATGCCTTCAACTCTAGTGAGGAACACAGGTACTCAGTGATGTTCACTGATAGGAAGAAAGAAGGCACAGTTCTTGTTTTTGGAAACTTTATGTTCTGCGAGGGAGAAATAAAAATAGTCCAAGAGCAGGGCGCCTGTAGCTCAAGCGGCTAGGACACCAGCCACATACACCGAAGCTGGCAGGTTCAAATCCAGCTCGGGCCTGCCAAACAGTGACAACTGAAACCAAAATATAGCCAGGCATTGTGGTGGGAGCCTGTAGTCCCAGCTACTTGGGAGGCTGAGGCAAGAGGAATCACTTAAGCCCAAAAGTTGGAGGTTGCTGTGAGCTGTGAGGCCATGGCACTCTACCCAGGGTGACAGCTTGAGACTCTGCCTCAGAACAAACAATCAATCAAAAAAATCACATAGTCCAAGAAATGAACGGTTTAGAAATATAGTCACTTGGTTTATTTCACAGAAATGTCTTGTTGCTAATTTGCCACAATGAATGATAAATAATAAAACCTATGTATAATTAATCCATTGCCTTGCAGAGTTGTGCCAATAATATCTGACACACTTGTATAGCAGTTATACACTTTACACTGTTCTTAAAGGTATCAGTGATTCAAGTCTTTGATTCCGAGACACTGTATTAGGCACTAAAAACTGTGATCAGTAATATGTATATTTCCTGAAGACTTATTATGTGCCATGCTTTGTTTTAAATACTTTCAGTGCCTTAAGTACACTTAAGTATACTTTGGTTGCCTCTACAACAATGCTATGAGATAGTTACTATTTAATATTTGTTTTTCGGGTGGTGCCTGTGGCTCAGTGGGTAGAGTGCCAGCCCCATATACCGAGGGTGGCGGGTTTTAACCTGCCCCAACCAAATTGCAACAACAAAAAAAAGTAGCTGGGCATTGTGGCAGACGCCTGTAGTCCCAGCTACTCAGGAGGCTGAGGCAAGAGAATCTCCTAAGCCCAGGAGTTGGATGTAAAATAGGATATAAAAATTTTTCCACGTTTTAATAGTTTCTTTTTTGAGCTGTGATGCCACAGCACTCTACTGAGGAGGATAAAAAGAGACTTGTCTCTAAAAAAAAAAAAAAAAATTTTTTTTTTTTCACAGATGTGGGTAATCAGGGCTTAGGGAGATTTAATTACTTGCCCAGGTTGACATGATAAGTGGTGCAATGTTTCACTAGTAAGTTGAGTTAAGCAATGGGTGTACTTGGGCACAAAGAGATATAGAGGACACTGGAAACCAAGAAGAGAGTAGGGTGGGGGATGAGGTGTTGAGGACAGTGAACACTATTCTTTTGATGGACACACTCAAAACCTTGATTTAAGCAGTATACAAGGTATCCAGGCAATAAAAACATTTGTATTCCCTTAATTTTTTTTTTTTTTGAGAGGGCTGGGTTTGAACCTGCCTCCTCTGGCATATGGGGCTGGTGCCCTACTCCTTTGAGCCACAGGCGCTGCCCTTCCCTTAATATTTGAAGTTAAGAAAATTAAAATATAGTAAATATCCTAAAAAATGAAAACTTGAATACATGGGTGGATGAAGGAGTGAATATATACAGATAAATCAAGATAGCAAAATATTAATTGTAAAATCTAGATGAATGGCATATGGATGTTCACTATACAATTCTGTATACATTCAAAAATTTTCATAAGGTATTGAGATGAATCAATTACAGGGGAACAAGAATGGAAGTGCATATAAGAGTCTACTGCAGTTGCCTAGGTGAGAGGTAATGGTCAAGTTATTGATAGTAGAGATGGAGAAGATGGAAAAGACTTAATACAGCTTTAGAGGCAGCACCTGTGGGTCTTCCTGTGTATAAGATGTGGGTGAGTAG